TCTATATGCAAAAAAATTACTACATAACTAATCAAGGGTCATAACTTTGAGTTAAAGGGTCGGACCGGAACAAGCCGACGATATGGGCATCTCCTGTTGATATTGATGATTCCCATAAAGTTTCGTTGAATTCCAGCCAGTAGTTGCAGAGAACTACTCCGGAAACGAAATTCGGACGGACGGATGGACGGACGGAAGGACAGACAACGCCAAAATTATATCCCCCTCCCGATTCCATCGGCGGGGGATAATAATCAAAAGCAACAGAACATTGCTATCAATCGCAAATAATCTGCTTTTTTATCTAGCACAAGCGATTATTCCGTAAAATAGACATATATTGCCAAAACTATCTTTGTTGAAAAGACTGCCATAAAATAGAACTGCGTTGTATCATTTCTTAATTTCAACTGCATTGTTGTATGTACATATTTACTCCAATTTCACGATGAAATGTTTTGTTAAATGTTATTCCAGTACTTAAGAATTGTAGTACGACATTAATCTATTTTCTAACTCTATGCATGTAATCCGCCTCACGAGCCATATCAATATACAGTTGCAGCCAATTAATGGCAATTATCATTTATTGAATGTTCACGATTATGTTCGCAATATGAAAACGCAAATATGTCTGTTTTTAACAAGAAGGTAATATTATGTTATACCCTTGAAAAAGTACACGATACTTGATTTATCCGTACTAAACAGTGGTGGACCGTGCCATTCCTTACCGTTTCGTGTTGCAATGCAATAAACCGTATAAGACCGTTTTAATCCCTGCCTCTCTGTAGTACAACATATTACGATCGTGGCTTTCCGTGACAATGCCGTATTAATCAGTATCAAAACCGTAGCTTATACGTAGGGTAACCGTACAAATACGTAGTTCACCGTACCAAACTGTGGAAATCCTTAACAAGTTGGGGCCTACGAATCAGTACGGACTTGTACGGTTTTCGTACAGACCAGTACGGACTAGTAGGGATACGCTACGGTTGATTTTTCCATAGCAAATTTTTGTGCATGTTCAAAAATTGTCAAGGATCACTACGGATATACAAAGACTACTACCATTGATTACGATTACAATACGGAGAGCTACTGACCAGTACAGGTAGCTACGGACAATGCCGGAATTAATCCAAGGCTCTTCCGTGAGCGTATTCCGTGAATATGTGACCGGGGTATTAGCAGAATGTCAGTAAGTGTAACTTACTAGGTCATAGTCAGGGGTTTATGGCCCCTTATGTAATGGACTTTATTGATCTCTAAGGTCATGCCCTAAGGGCTGGTGTTTTATGACTTGTATATTCATATCAAGTTACCACCAATTAATTGAAAGGGAAGAATAAAAGATAGCTAATTTACTTATGTAACTTTAGATTGTTCAATTATGTTTGAAAAACTTGGTCATTTTATTGCAAATAAATTTATCATATTTGATATAATTTGCATAAATTATATATAACTTAATAAGCATTTTCATTTTTTCTGAAGTCACCATGAATTTAAGAACTTTACTACTTTGAGTGAAGCTGTACTAATTTCTAATTCTCAGGCTTATTATCATTTTGAGCACCAAGAAATTAAAGTGACATTATGCCCATCCAAAAGTACATAGGTATTGAACTGGTGAAAGTCAAAATAAGTTTACATTATGCCATTATTCTTTTCAATTTTATAATTTATTTAACATGAAAGATAAAAAAATTTGCATGACCCAAGGAAATTTCTAAAACTATCCACCAGGTTTTTTTTAAGCAGATTTATATTTTATTCTAAAAAAATTTCAATATCAAGTGTTGGTCAATCACCATTGTAACAGGCAATGTTTTGATATATATAGTTAATTCAGATCAACTTGAAGATGAAAAAAATGAGCATTATAAATGTCACTTTAAAAATATTTTTGTTGTGAAATGGGTGCCCATGGTTGATTATAGGCAATTTGTTGTAGTAAATAATAAAATTTTTAAGCAATTTGCTTGTTGTGCATGAACCAGTTGCGAAATTAACTAAAAACCAAGAGCCACTGCCGGGCGGGGGCAACGCTCGACTTTTTACTTTCTCTTATAGCAAACAAAGAAATGTTTGAACAAAATCTTAACGTTTCCTTTTTATAAAATTAATCGGTCTGTCTTGTCACATAAGTTTTGTCTATATATTTTGTATATATAAATATACTAAATTATATATATATATATATAAATAGGAACATGCAATTCTAAAAATAGAAAATTCTATAAATAGAAACATGCAATTCTATAAATAGAAACACGCAATTCTATAAATAGAAAATTCTATAAATAGATACACGTGGTAGAGTCACATGGTGGAGTCACGTGTTAAAGTCACGTAGTAAAGTCATGTGGTGGTGTCACATGGTAGAGTCACGTGGTAGAGTCACGTGGTAAAGTTACGTGGTAAAGTCACGTGGTAAAGTCATGTGGTAAAGTCATGTGGTGGAGTCACGTGGTCACATGGTGGTGTCACGTGGTGAAGCCACGTGGTAGAGTCATGTGGTGGAGTCACGTGGTAAAGTAATGTGGTGGAGTCATGTGGTAGTCACATGGTAGAGTCACATGGTAGAGTCACATGGTGCTGTCACGTGGTGCTGTCATGTGGTCCCGTGGTGGTGTCACATGGTGAAGCCACGTGGTAGAGTCATGTGGTGGAGTCACGTGGTAAAGTCACGTGGTGGAGTCATGTGGTAGTCACATGTTAGAGTCACATGGTGGTGTCATGTTGTGCTGTCATGTGGTGCTGTCACGTGGTGGAGTCACGTGGTGGATTCATGTGGTGGAGTCACGTGGGAGAGTCACTGGGTGGAATCTTGTGGTAGAGTCACGTGGTAAAGTCATGTGGTAAAGTCATGTGGTGGTGTCGTGTGGTTGTGTAACGTGGTGGAGTCACGTGGTAAAGTCACGTGGTTAAGTCATATGGTGGAGTCACGTGGTGGAGTCACGTGGTGAAGTCATGTGGTAAAGTCACAACAAGGTCTTGTCCTTAAGTATGTTCTGTTATAATATGAAGTAAGATCCCTTCAATAATAGCAAAGTTACAGCCAGTTACAGCCAAAACAATGAAAATTTCAATAATTTGAACTTCAAAGTCAAGGTCATTAATGAGTGAAGGTCAAGGTCTGTCTGGCTATTTTTAAGGGTTATCCTTGAAGAATATTATGTTCAAATTTGAAGACAATCCATTCAAAAATAACAAAGTTACAGCCAATAATAGCCAAAAAAATGAAAATTTCAATAACTTGACCTTCAAAGTCAAGGTCATTTATGAGTGAAGGTCAAGGTCTGTCTGGTTATTTTTAAGGGATATCCTTGAAGATTATTATGTTCAAGTTTGAAGACAATCCATTCAAAAATAACAAAGTTACAGCCAATAACAGCATGAACAAGCAAAATTTGGACTTTTAACCTTGAAGGTCAAGGTCATTTATGGATGAAGGTCAAGGTTAGTGTGGTCTAATGAAAGGTCTTGTCCAAAGGGTTGTTGTGGCCAAGTATGAAGACAATACACCAAGAAATAAAAAAGTTATGATCCAGGTACAAGTTTGAGGACTGCAACGGCAACGGCAATGCCGCCACGACTTTATAGTAAAAAAAAAAAGACCAAGTATGAAGACAATACACCAAGAAATAAAAAAAAGTTATGATCCAGGTACAAGTTTGCGGACGGCAACGGCAACACCGCCGCGACTGTAACAATACCTCTACTTTTTTTTTCAAAAAAAAAAAGTCGAGCTAATAAAAATCAGACATCTTTTCAATCAAATACTTTTAAATATCAGCTTTGACAGCTTATTTCTTCAAAATACTATTTATTTGAAGTTGTAAAAGCACACTTATGCAAATTGGATGAGGGGCTGGTCATAGAATTTTTCCAGTTATTCTAAAGAGGGTGGAAAATAATATAGTCCCAGAGACAAACAGAATCCCTAAAGAAAGTCCAACACAACACCATTGAAAATGTTGCAGGCTCGTTTGATTGAGCCTGTTCATGGACGGTACTGGAAAGTGCAAGTAACCGTCCACACCCCCTAGCACCGGCTTAAGGAGAATTCAACATTTAACGCGAAAATGGTGAAATTAGAAACATCCGCAGATGTGTTCAAACGGTGGTCATCATGGAACCTTCAATGCAACACAGTAGTGCCATTCCATGAAAAGCAGGTATGGTCCCCAAGTAAAAGAATGCTTGTGCCCTAAACAAGAAAACAATGGGTGGAAATAAATAAAATGGAATTTTGAAAGGGGATCTGAGGTTATGAATCCTGCATATCACAGACAAGACGTCAAAATACCCATTTCATTTATTTTCTGAGGGAGAAACAATGTTTTGCATTATTTTTCAATAAAAAACAATTATTTTATTAGCATTATCAAGCTGTAGGGTAGGGGTCATTAATAACCCTTACCCAACCTTCTGTAATCCTGCAAGAGAACAATCTCTTGAGTGGCCCACTGAGCCCTTTCTGAAATTTAACTTCTTTGCAGCTCAAATTTGGGGGCTAAATGGTTTGGGTGGGATTTATGAAAGTGATCATACATTTAATGCCTAGGCAAGCACTGGCAGTTAAAATTGTCTGAATTTCCCACAACAAAGCAGTTGAATTAAACACGATCAACATTTATTTTACCAACCTAGCAGGATTTGACACACGAAAAAACAGCCTCAGCTCATTTCCTCACCTTTCTAAAAATAAAAGCTTGGGAGCTTCCAAGACTCCAGGGATGCCTCCGTCCCATTCATTTAGCATACCAAAAAAGCCCAAAAAAATGAGTAATTATGTAGATTATGATCCCCTTCGATCGACATCTTTCTAATATCAGTTTCTAAAATCGGTCAGTCTTGCAGTCAAAATATTGAGACTAATAACACAGTACTGAGTATACAAAAACTATTTAATAAGTATACTGCAGCCTAATAATTATTTGCAACAGATTACAGTAATTTTGGAACTTGTACAAATACTAAGATCTTACCGATTTTCTATTCCTTTTCTCAAAGCCTCCATAGGATGTCCTTTTCCTCTTTGGTGGCCCAAGGTGGCTTACTGATGAAGGTTTGTTGCTGTCTTTAAACGCTTCAATTTCAGGGAAAATTGTAGGAACAGCACCTTTTACTAGCTGAAGTTTCAAAGTCAAACCAACTGAGTTCATTATACTTGGTGGATGAACAAATGACTCTTCACTGAAATGTCTAGAACACAAATGTGACGTTTTCGTCGACACAAATTGGCTTTAACATTCCGTTAAGGTATTACCATCCTAATGCATTACCTCCGCTTTGAAGAGTATTCAAATAGGCTAGAACTACTGTTAACTACATTGAAAATGAGGGCCGTTGGTTCAATCCCCAAAAGGGTAAACTTTTTTTTGTCTTTCTTTTTTTCTTTTAACTAAATATTTATGTATCTCTCATGTCCCATTTGGAAAGAAAAAAGTGTTTATTATTGATTTTTTAATTTATATAGGTAAACAAGAAAAATATTACATACATTCCTATGTAATATAGGTACGATTGCATAAGACTTTTTAAGTTTGCTGCATTAAAGGTGTAATGTAAAATGAACATGTCATGAGATATTTTGTATCTTTAAACATTTCAATGGAATGTAATTAATGCATCATCATATTAAAGTAGCATGCCTTCAGATTAGAAAAATGATTTCAAGGAAATTAAAACATGAAAAGAAAATTCACGGTCAATTGACTGCTTTAAAGCATAAACACAAATTAAATAACAGGAAATTAAAAACCTTTTTAATACACTGAAGGTAGAATTTCATTGTAAATCACAGTCACAGATTTGAGGTATGATTACTTATTCATATGTGTCATGGAATGCAAAAAATGGGGTTTCTTGACCAAATTTGGATTTTCACTTTTTTGAATCGATATCAGATAAGTCTTATTGACAAAGATATACATAATTTTGTGTGTATGGTGCCCAGTAAGTTATTAGAAATAATCATAAAACTAGAAATGTGTCCATAGGACACGGATGCCCCCACACGCCACTGTTCTGTCAATCTCAATATGACTCTAGGTCAAATATTTTTTAGACAGTATGTGCCACAAGTTGAAAACTAAAAATCAACAAAGGGCCATAATTCTGTAAAATTTGGTCGCAGCAAAACTTCCTTCCTTTACTACCGTCTACACATTAAGGTTGTTCATCCCTGGAAGTTTAAGCAAAATCTGCCATCCGGTTAAAGAGGAGTTGCGTTCACAAAATTTCTACATAGTATATAGTGAAAAATCAACAAAGGGCCATAATTCTGTTAAATTTGGTCGCAGCAAAAATTCCTTCCTTTACTACCATCTACACATTAAGGTTGTTCATCCCTGGAAGTTTAAGCTAAATCTGCCATCCGGTTTAAGAGGAGTTGTGTTCACAAAATTTCTATATGGTATATAGTGAAAATCAACAAATGGCCATAATTCTGTTAAATTTGATCGCAGCAAAAATTCCTTCCTTTACTACCATCTACACATTAAGGTTGTTCTTCCCTGTAAGTTTAAGCAAAATCTGCCATCCGGTTTAAGAGAAGTTGCGTTCACAAAATTTTTCCATAGTATATAGTGAAAAAATCAACAAAGGGCCATAATTCTGTTAAATTTGGTCGCAGTGAAAATTCCCTCCTTTACTACCATCTACACATTAAGGTTGTTCATCCCTGTAAGTTTAAGCAAAATCTGCCATCCAGTTTAAGAGGACCTGCGTTCACAAGATTTCGGGATGTACTGACGGATGTGCACCATTGATTATTGATATTGCATTGTATATAAATGTAGTAAATCAGCCTTATTATATATGATTGTATTTAGTAATTTATATTAAGCTTCAGGTCAAGAGTGTAAACAAAAAAGTTATGTAAACAAACTTTTTACAAAGTGTTGTCAATTTCAAATCATTCCTTGTTATTCATTCTTATTTTATTTCATTTTTTTTAGGAGGGCGTTAAAATTGTTTGCAAAAGATTCTCTCTCTTCAATTTATGTTTTTTTCTGCCTAAAAAAACATTTAGCATGCAAAGGCCAGCTGTTCCATGATGATTCATTAAAACTTGTAAACAAATCCTGGGGAGACAAAAATATGAGAAGCCCAATATAATAGCTGATCTCTTACCATAATCTTGGACAAATTTTATAAAATTTAAAATTTGAAGCATTCAACAGCAGAGTGTTGTAGCTCAACAGATGTATCAACTATTAGTTACATCAGTGTTCCGCTGCTTATCAAGTTATAAGTCACTGGCACAAGCATGTCCGTTTCCTTCAAGAACACAGACCTGAAAACCGCACAAGACTGTACCGTAACCAAATATAGCGTGATTAAATTCATTAATACTATCGCAAAACGCTTGTGGAAGTCAAAGATTAAAATTTATTTTTCATTAAAAACGTGAAGCATTAAAAAATTTTAAAATATATTATTACTTGGTCACAAAAGACGTGACTTCTCAAGTGTCACGATGTTTTTGTTAATACTCCACATCGTATCTTCAGCTTCAAAATGAATACTTAAACATATTGGTTGAAACATTTAAACCTATACCCGCTGCCAGTAAAAAACATTGTTATGAATAAATAATGAAATGATGATGATCTACCGGTAAGTTTTCAAGGGGGCTTTCTCTCCTTGCTCAACTCTTCTAAATGAATATTAGATAAAATCTAATATGCTCAATTTCTTACTTGTTATTTTGTCATTCATTAAAAAAAAATATGGCAGTAAAATTGGGGTAGGTGGTGGCTCAGAGAAGCAAAATCCTTCATTAAGTAGAACTTTTGGTAGAAAATTACTCGTAACCCTCCTAATTTCATATTTGAACAAAATAATGTTGAAAATACAAACATGTAGTATGTGCCACAATATAGCTATGGTACTGAGTACCAATGTCCCATAAGCACACCATTATCATTTAGATGCTGAATATAACTCCTGAATTTCTTAAATGGACTTGTCCAACTTCCATTTTTGGAACTGTCCATTATCAATTTTAGGGATGTCAAGATAAATACTTGAAGGTAGTCAGTCAAAAGTATAGGTACAGGTATAGTATATTATTATTATATACCAAACTTCTTAAGCACTTTTTTCATGCACATTGACACATTCAAAAGTACTGTACAATATAGCCAAATAAATGATACAATAAAAGAAACAAAAATTAAAACATCAATATTGCTTGTCACAAATTCAAATCAAATGTAGTTTAAACTAGAACTGTGTCCAAAGGACACAAATGCCCCCACTGACAACATTTATATGGTATATAGTGAAACAAGATTGCATTTGAGAACAAGAACTGTCGGAGGACAGTAACGCTCGACTATTCGAAAATTTGTCACAAGGGTGTTTCATTGAGTATAATAATGCTTACCTATATGAATACATAAAATTGTCCGAAAAGGTACAAACTCTTCAAGTTTCAATACATTCCCTTCAGTAGTTATGGAGATACAAGCTTACATGCAAAAACTTAACCAAGAATTCATGAGTCGAAAAAGGGGCATAATTATGCAAAAAAGCAAATCAGAGTAATGGGACTTGTACCAATCATCTTAGATAATCATAGAGACCAAGTGTGTGAAGTTTCAATCCATTCCCTCTAGTAGTAATGGAGATACCAGCTTACACGCAAAAACTTATACAAGAATTTCTAAGTCGAAAAAGGGGCATAATTATGTTAAAAAGCAAATTAGAGTTATGGGACTTGTGCCAATCATCTTAGATAATCACAGAGAACAAGTGTGTGAAGTTTCATTCAATTCCCTTCAGTAGTTATGGAGATACCAGCTTACATGCAAAAACTTAACCAAGAATTTCTAAGTCGAAAAAGGGGCATAATTATGTAAAAAAGCAAATCAGAGTTATGGGACTTGTGCCAATTATCTTAGATAATCACAGAGAACAAGTGTGTGAAGTTTCAATCCATTCCCTTCAGTAGTTATGGAGATACCAGCTAATTTACACGCAAAAACTTAACCAAGAATTTCTAAGTCGAAAAAGGGGCACAATTATGTAAAAAAGCAAATCAGAGTTATGGGACTTGTGCTAATCATCTTATATAATCACAGAGAACAAGTGTGTGAAGTTTCAATCAATTCCCTTCAGTAGTTAAGGAGATACCAGCTTACATACAAAAACTTAACCAAGAATTTCTAAGTCGAAAAAGGGGCATAATTATGAAAAAAAGCAAATCAGAGTTATGGGACTTGTGCCAATCATCTTAGATAATCACAGAGAACAAGTGTGTGAAGTTTCAATCCATTCCCTTCAGTAGTTAAGGAGATACCAGCTTACACACAAAAACTTAACCAAGAATTTCTAAGTCGAAAAAGGGGCATAATTATGAAAAAAAGCAAATCAGAGTTATGGGACTTGTGCCAATCATCTTAGATAATCACAGAGAACAAGTGTGTGAAGTTTCAATCCATTCCCTTCAGTAGTTATAGAGATACCAGCTTACATACAAAAACTTAACCACAGGGACGCCGACGCCGACAAATGGGTGACTGCATTAGCTCGATTATTCTGCGAATAGTCGAGCTAAAAATGGTAGGACAGCACGCTCGACTATTCTAAGTGCTTGATAGTAAAAGAGCCTTGATAATGTTAAATTTTTTAAGTTCACAAAAGGGCTAATTTTTTTTATAAATTCATGTTATAGGCCTTAGAGACAGTCTAATTATACAGTATTGGCTTGACTATTCGGAAGGTAATGTCACAAGGGTGTTTTATTGAGTATAATAATACTAATTACCTATGAATACATAAATTTGACAGAAAAGGTACAAAGGCTTGTTATTAAGATGTTTTATCAAGTAAATCAGTGCTTTATTATTATGAATGCATAAAATTGTCCCAAAAAAGGCACAAACCCTTCAGTAGATATTGATATAACAGCTTACAAGCAAAACTTTACCATGAATTTCTAAGTTGAACAAGCAATTATCATAGTATTGCAAGCAATCCATAAGTCCCCTACTGGTTAGAACCCCATCAACATTCTGAAGGGCCATTGGCCATTCACTAATGTTTCAATTTTTCTCTATTTTAAGTAAATTTGTTGAAAAGTTCTTTAAAAGTGATCACAGGAAACAGTTTTTATGAACAGACAGACAGACAGATGGACTGAGGACACTCTAAAGTTAATATTTGAAACATCCCTGTTACCAAAATATAACATTTTAAAAGCAAAATTCTTAAAGAGGAGATAACTCTTGAATTAAAGATGCAATTTCATAAAAATTTTCAGCTCTTTTTGACTAATCACAAATATTGTTATATTTGCCATGTTTTAAGCCTATTTGTTGCCAAGGCAACTGATATTTTATCAAAATAGGAAGAACAGATAAGACATGCATAATCTCAAGACTGCTATCTACCCATATGTCAAGTTTCATAAAAATATTTCCAGTACTTTTTGAGTTATCACTGGATTCAGTTTATGTGTAAAATTTGCCAAATTTTCAGTCTATGTGTTGCCATAGCAACCAGAATTTTCAACATAGGAAGAAAAGAAAAAGACGTGCATAATCTCAAGACTGCCATCTACCCATATGTCAAGTTTCATAAAAATATTTCCAGTACTTTTTGCGTTATCACTGGATCCAGTTTATGTGTAAAATTTGCCATATTTTCAGCATATTTGTTGCCATAGCAACCAGAATTTTCAACATAGGAAGAAAAGAAAAAGATGTGCATTATCTCAAGACTGCCATCTACCCATATGTCAAGTTTCATAAAAATATTTCCAGTTCTTTTTGCGTTATCACTGGATTCAGTTTATGTGTAAAATTTGCCATATTTTCAGCCTATTTGTTGCCATAGCAACCAGAATTTTCAACATAGGAAGAAAAGAAAAAGACGTGCATAATCTCCATACTGCCATCTATCCATATACCAAGTTTCATAAAAATATTTTCAGTACTTTTCAAGTTATCGCGGGATCCAGTTTTGTGGACGGACGGACTGACAGACGGACTGACAGACGGACGGAGGGTAAACCTAAAGTCCCCTCCGGTAAACCGGTAGGGGACTAAAAAGGGGAGAAAAATCAGCCTAAATGCAAGATAGAATTATGGATCTTTGTCAGTGACCTACAATTATGACCCTGAATGCATATGTGAAGTTTTAAATAAATATCTTTAATAGTTATTGAGATATGTAAAACTTGCATGTAAACATTAACCAAGAGACTAAGTAGAAAAGGGGATATGAATCAGCCTTTATGCAAGATAGAGTTATGGAACTTGGTCAATGACATACAATTATGACCCTCCAATTATGACCCTTAGTGCATGTGTAAAGTTTCAAGTAAATATCTTTAGAGACCTTTAACCTTTAACCCAAATTTCTAAGTTAATAATTCTGCAAATATTGCAGGCAGAGTTATGCAATTTTGCAAACTGATGTACATTGTTATTATAAAAAAGTATTTTAAAATTTCAATTGAATATCTCAAGCAATAATTGAGATATTTGACTTTACAAAAAAACTTTAACCAAAATTTCTAAGTTCCAAAGGGGCATAATTCTGTCAATATTGTAGGCAGAGTTATCCAACTTGTCAATCTGATGTACCTTGTTACTATAAATAAGTATGGTAAGTTTCAATTGAATATCTCAAGCAATAATTGAGATATTTGACTTTACAAAATACTTTAACCAAAATTTCTAAGTTAAAAAGGGGCATAATTCTGTCAATATTGTAGGCAGAGTTATCCAACTTGTCAATCTGATGTACCTTGTTACTATAAATAAGTATTGTAAGTTTCAATTGAATATCTCAAGCAATAATTGAGATATTTGACTTTACAAAAAACTTTAACCAAAATTTTTTAAGTTAAAAAGGGGCATAATTCTGTCAATATTGTAGGCAGAGTTATCCAACTTGTCAATCTGATGTACCTTGTTACTATAAATAAGTATTGTAAGTTTCAATTAAATATCTCAAGTAATAATTGAGATATTTGACTTTACAAAAAACTTTAACCAACGCAGATGCCGACGCTGACACTGACGCCGACGCCGACGCCGGGGCGACTACAATAGCTCTCATATTCTTTGAATAGTCGAGCTAAAAATGCTATGCCACCGCATTAATACAACACTAAATAGTAGTGTAGGAACAGATTTTTTTTGTTTCTATACAATTGAAGATTGTCATAATGCATAGATCCCCGAGTGACCTATCTAATTCTTAGTATCAGATTAGTGGTTAAATCTATTGTTAACTCAATAAAAGATCAGAGTAGGAATATATCAATGCACTTGAGTCTAGTGAATTTGGTGGTGAAGGTCCTATTTCACACAGCCTAAATTTCATGATTGCATCAAAGGACAACATGTAATACACTTTGTCAAAATCTAGGTCAGCTGATATCAAAGTTCACTTTTAATTTTGACACTAGAGGCAATTTAATTTGAACAACTTTGGTAGAGTACCTATAGATGATATAATTTAACAAATATTAAAGCTCTAAGCCTTGTACCTTCAGACAATTAGATTTTTTGATTTTTTACTATATGTATATATTGAAAATCAATGACCCCGGGGCGGGGGCAATTTTGATCCCAGGGCTATTATTTGAACAATCTTGCTAGAGGTTCACTTCACAATGTTTCATGCAAAATATCTAACCTCTAGCATTTGTCAATTGCTAGAAGAATTTTTTTAAAGTTTTTACTATAAGTTTTTACTGTAAAAATGAGGAAAATCAATGACCCCAATGGCAGGGCCGGTTTTGACCCCAGGACTATAATTTGAACAATCTGGGTAGAGGTCTAGCAGACAATGCCTTATGCAAGATATCTAAGCTCTAGGCCTTTTGGGTCTTTACAAGAAGGTATTTTAAGTTTTTACTATATGTACATATAGTGTAAATCAATGACCCCCAGGGCAGGGCCGATTTTGACCCCAGGACTATAATTTGAACAATCTGGGTAGAGGTCTAGCAGACAATGCCTTATGCAAAATATCAAAGCTCTAGGCCTTTTGGGTCTTTACGAGAAGGTATTTTAAGTTTTACTATATGTACATATAGTGAAAATCAATGACCCCCTGGGCGGGGCTGATTTTGACCCCAGGGCTATAATTTGAACAATCTTGGTAAGAGTCTACCAGACAATGCCTTATGCAAGATATCTAAGCTCTAGGCCTATGGGTCTTTACAAGAAGGTATTTTAAGTTTTTACTAAATGTACATATAGTGTAAATCAATGACCCCCGGGGCGGGGCCAATTTTGACCCCAGGGCTATAATTTGAACAATCTTGGTAGAGGTCTACCAGACAATGTCTAATGCAAAATATCTAAGCTTTAGGCCTTTTGGGTCTTTACAAGAAGATTTTTTAAATTTATTCTTATAATTCCTTTTGGTTGCCATGGCAACCAGATTTCTGAATGGAATTAAATTCTTTGAACAACTTTGGAAGCCCTTCACCCAAGGATCAATCCTGCTAAGTTTGGTTGAAATTGGACAAGTGGTTTTTCACAAGAAGATTTTTTAAGTTCACTATATAATCTATATAACACACACACACACACAAACAAACACACACACACAGGTGAATCGCTATATGCCACCGCATCGCAGATGCTGCGGTGGCATAAAAATCAACAAAGGGCCATAATTCTGTTAAATTTGGTCGCAGCAAAAATTCCTTCCTTTACTACCATCTACACATTAAGGTTGTTCATCCCTGGAAGTTTAAGCAAAATCTGCCATCCGGTTTAAGAGGAGTTGCGTTCACAAGATTTTGGGACGTACGGACAGACGGACTGACGTCCAGCCGAAATGGAATAAGGGGCCATTTCTTTTGTTATTTTCTATTGTTTAATAGAGGGCCAATGGCCCCTTACTCTATTGTTACGGAATGAACTCTATAATGTTCTCTTTTGTTCTGTTTACAGTTAGATGGCCCCCTATCCCTTTTCGGTAGTGCGGACGGACAGACGGACGGACAAGTGCAACGCTATATGCTCTATGTTTCATGCTAAACATCTAAGTTCTAGCTCATTGGGTTTTTTAAAAGAAGATTTTTTAAGTTTTTACTATACACATATAGTTAAAAACAATGACACCCCTGGGGCAGGGCCAGTTTTGACCCCCAGGCTTTTATTTGAACAAACTTTGTAGATATTTACTCAAAGATGTTTCATGCTTAATATCTAAACTCTAGCTATTTGGGTTTTTTCAAAGAAGATTTTAAAGTTTTTGCTATACACATATATAAGGAAAATCAATGACCCCCCGGGGCGGGGCCAGTTTTGACCCCAGGGCTTTTATTTGAACATACTTGGTAGACACCCATTAGAACATGTTTCATGCTAAATATCTTAGCTCTAGCTCTTTGAGTTCTTTAAAAGAAGATTTTTTAAGTTTTTACTATATGCATATAGGGAAAATCAATGACCCCCTGGGGCGGGGCCAATTTTGACCCCAGGGCTTTTATTTGAACATACTTGGTAGACATTCACTAGAAGATGTTTCATGCCAAATATTTAAGCTCTAGCTCTAACGGTTCTTTAAAAGAAGACTTTTTAAGTTTTCACTATATGCATATAGGGAAAATCAATGACCCCCCGGGGCGGGGCTAATTTTGACCCCAGGGCTTTTATTTGAACAAACTTGGTAGACACTCACTAGAAGATTTTTCATGCCAAATATCTTAGCTCTAGCTCTTTGGGTTCTTTAAAAGAAGATTTTTTAAGTTTTTACTATATGCATATAGGAAAAATCTATGACCCCCCTGGGGCAGGGCCAATTTGACCCCAGGGCTTTTATTTGAACAAACTTGGTAGACACTCATTAGAAGATGTTTCATGCTAAATATCTTAGCTCTAGCTCTTTGGGTTCTTTAAAAGAAGATTTTTTAAGTTTTTACTATATGCATATAGGGAAAATCAATGACCCCCCGGGGCGGGGCCAATTTTGACCCCAGGGCTTTTATTTGAACAAACTTGGTAGACACTCACTAGAAGATGTTTCATGCCAAATATCTAAGCTCTAGCTCTTAGGGTTGTTTAAAAGAAGATTTTTTAAGTTTTTACTATATGCATATAGGGAAAATCAATGACCCCCCGGGGCGGGGCCAATTTTGACCCCAGGGCTTTTATTTGAACAAACTTGGTAGACACTTACTAGAAGATGTTTCATGCCAAATATCTAAGCTCTAGCTCTTAGGGTTGTTTAAAAGAAGATATTTAAAGATTTTTCTTTCGGTTGCCATGGCAACCAGAGTTCTGCATGGAATTAAATTCTTTGAACAATTTTTAAAGGTGACCACCAAAGGAACATTCCTATTAAGTTTGGATGAAATTGGCTCAGTGGTTTATGAGGAGATGACTCATTTAAAGCAAAAGTTTACGGACGGATGACGACGGACGCCGGACGAAAAGCGATCACAAAAGCTCACCCTGTCACTTTGTGACAGGTGAGCTAAAAAGGGGCATAATTCTGCCAAAATGCTTGATACAGTCACCTCCTCCTGTATACAGGTTGGGGTCATGGTGGTGAACAATTGTGCAAAGTTTCAAAGCCATATGTCAATGGACTTTGAAAATATTAGAGGTATATCATAAAAACTTCAACATAAGTAGTTACGTCCACACCGACGCTCGGGTGACTACAAAAGCTCTACTTATTTTAATCGAAAAGTCAAGCTAAAAATCAATCAGTGTTGCCAAGCAACCACAATATATGTCTTGCGACAAAGTCGCCATTTTTTATATCACAATCTAATTTAAACTGTTAAACACTGAAGTAGCAATACCCCACCACCCTACGGGCGGTGCACAATTTGGTTATAAAAACAACTTTATCTCAATTGTCACTCGTAAAATTACGCCACGCGTAATTGAAAAAACCTTCTTTAAACTTATTACAGTTAACAATACGCTATGCGCATTGAAAATCTAAACTATAGCATTTAATTGCGCTTCGCACAACTACAAAAACGTGTTATCGCCGAGGCGGACGGAAGCACACTGATGCGCATGCACGGCGGAAGTTATCTCATTTTAGACGAAAATTTATTTGTTTGAACGAAATAAAATTTTGTTTTAAATTTAACAAATTTTAAGTGCACAATTGGCTATTTGAATAAACTAGAACTTAAAAAAAATGCGAGTTGGATGTGTCGCCTTGTGAACAATATAGTTTAGGAGAAATGGCCAGGACGAGAAAATTAACAAAGGGCAATAACTCAAACAAGAGGGCCATGACGGCCCTGAGTCGCTGACCAGAAACAACTGCTTTTCAGTGTTGGAATGTCAATATTTCCCAATATTAAATTTTAAGTATAGAATATGTTTAACCAATAATTTGAAGAAATGCCATGACCTGGGGCATTTAAGCTTTAGCTTAAACGGGGCTAATCAAATTAATATGAGCAAACTTGATAAAAAAACTACCTAAGAATGCTACAAAGTTTGGTGATCATCTATCAATTATTTCAGTAGGAATTTGATGTTCGAGACAACTTTATGGCAGTCAATAAAAGTACTAGTCAACAGGTCAAAATATTGTAGACCACTAATTTAACCACAGTAGATATGTAAGTTTATAATATTATGTTATTACACACTATAAATTTCTAAAGAAGTATTAACAATATAGTATAGGCAATTTAGCGGTGGCAGAACATTTAAAAAATTGTTGCCGATTTTGGGGTGGAATGCTACAGACAAAGTTTGGGGATCATCAATCCATTAGTTCTGTAGAAATAAACATTTAAAGGTATTTCTATTTTTAGCTTAAGCGGCCCCTAAGAGGGGCCAATTGGAATAGGGCTGGGGCGAGTATCCGAGTACTCGGATAATCACAAATCAAAGTGAAAAATCGAGTTTGAATATTCGTAAGCCCAGGAATCGTGGATCGCGATCTAATTTTTTTACATACATTCGCTGTTTCTCACACTCTTATAATTATGTAAAAAAGCAATCAGAGTTATGGGACTTGTGCCAATCATGTAAGATAATCACAGGGAACAAGTGTGTGAAGTTTCAATCCATTCCCTTCAGTAGTTATGGAGATACCAGCTTGCACGCAAAAACTTAACCAAGAATTTCTAAGTCAAAAAGGGGCAGAATTATGCAAAAAACCAAATCACAGTTATTGGACTTGTGCCAATCATGTAAGATAATCACAGGGAACAAGTGTGTGAAGTTTGAATCCATTCTCTTCAGTAGTTATGGAGATACCAGCTTGTACGCAAAAACTTAACCACAGGGATGCCGACGCCGACACCAACACCGACAAATGCGTGACTGCATTAGCTCAATTATTCTGCTTATAGTCGTGCTTAAAATCAAGCAGAATTCATCAATTTTTCAACAAAAAGTCATATTATGGCTGTTCTTAATAATATGGTAGTCATGTCCAAGGCATTCTATTAAGAATTAAAAAATGATTTGTTCACAGATCACTGCAGATGGCAAAGACAAAGGCAATGGCAAATGCAACATCACTATGACTGTAGCTAAACAAGAGGGCCATGATGGCCCTGAGGTCGCTCACCTGTATATAGCCCCCAAACCCCCCCCCCCCAGGCCAATTTTTACCCAAGGGCTTTTATTTGAACAGACTTGGTAGACACCCATAGAAGATGTTTCATGCTAAACATCTAAGTTCTAGCTCATTGGGTTTTATAAAAGAAGATTTTTTAAGTTTTTGCTATACACATATAGTTAAAAACAATGACACCCCTGGGGCAGGGCCAGTTTTGACCCCCGGGCTTTTATTTGAACAAACTTTGTAGATATTTACTTAAAAATGTTTCATGTATAATATCTAAACTCAAGCTATTTGGGTTTTTTCTAGTGATGTTCCGATTGTCGCAAGTCGCCGATTATCACTTACTGTTATGTAAAACGACAATAATCGATTCACAAAAGTTTGTTCTGCGACGTCGTCAAAAATGGTTAAATTATCAAAGGGAATTAATTCTGACGGTAATTTTCCTTTAGGAACACCTCGCCGATCGCAAAAAATCACTCAGAGACAATTTGGAGTTGAACAGGATCAATAATTAAGTGATGTAAACAATACTAATATAATGTGATGTGAATGGTATTATTTGACATCCATTGAAAAATAAAATCAATTTCGTAAAATTATGACTATATAAGGTTAAAACTGTGTTGAAAAGTGCTAAATGAAGTTCATGTTACTAAATATAATCAAGTGCCTTGGTAATAAATGTTACTTCTCTATTTCATTTTAACGCGACTAAATTATTCGAAAGTTATCGATTATGTCCCATCCGACTGAACCGATGATCGATTGGGACAAATTTCATCCGATTTCCATCACTAGTTTTTTCAAAGAAGATTTTAAGTTTTTGCTATACACATATAAGGAAAATCAATGACCCCCGGGGCGGGCCAGTTTTTACCCCAGGGCTTTTATTTGAACATACTTGGTAGACACCCATTAGAACATGTTTCATGCTAAATATCTTAGCTCTAGCTCTTTGAGTTCTTTAAAAGAAGATTTTTTAAGTTTTTACTATATGCATATAGGGAAAATCAATGACCCCCTGGGGCGGGGCCAATTTTTACCCCAGGGCTTTTATTTGAACAAACTTGGTAGACACTCATTAGAAGATGTTTCATGCTAAATATCTTAGCTCTAGCTCTTTGGGTTCTTTAAAAGAAGATTTTTTAAGTTTTTACTATATGCATATAGGGAAAATCTATGACCCCCTGGGACGGGGCCAATTTTGACCCCAGGGCTTTTATTTGAACAAACTTGGTAGACATTCACTAGAAAATGTTTCATGTCAAATATCTAAGCTCTAGCTCTTACGGTTCTTTAAAAGAAGATTTTTTAAGTTTTTACTATATGCATAATAGGGAAAATCAATGACCCCCCGGGGCGGGGCCAATTTTGACCCCAGGGCTTTTATTTGAACAAACTTGGTAGACACTCACTAGAAGATATTTCATGTCAAATATCTTAGCTCTAGCTCTTTGGGTTCTTTAAAAGAAGATTTTTTAAGTTTTTACTATATGCATATAGGGAAAATCTATGACCCCCTGGGGCAGGGCCAATTTTGACCTCAGGGCTTTTATTTGAACAAACTTGGTAGACACTCATTAGAACATATTTCATGCTAAATATCTTAGCTCTAGCTCTTTGGGTTCTTTAAAAGAAGATTTTTTAAGTTTTTACTATATGCATATAGGGAAAATCAATGACCCCCTGGGACGGGGCCAATTTTGACCCCAAGGCTTTTATTTGAACAAACTTGGTAGACATTCACTAGAAGATGTTTCATGCCAAATATCTAAGCTCTAGCTTTTACAGTTCTTTAAAAGAAGATTTTTTAAGTTTTTACTATATGCATATAGGGAAAATCAATGACCCCCCGGGCCGGGGCCAATTTTGACCCCAGGGCTTTTATTTGAACAAACTTGGTAGACACTCACTAGAAGATGTTTCATGCCAAATATCTTAGCTTTAGCTCTTTGGGTTCTTTAAAAGAAGATTTTTTAAGTTTTTACTATATGCATATAGGGAAAATCAATGACCCCCTGGGGCCAGGCCAATTTTGACCCTAGGGCTTTTATTTGAACAAACTTGGTAGACACTCATTAGAAGATGTTTCATGCCAAATATCTAAGCTCTAGCTCTTACGGTTCTTTAAAAGAAGATATTTAAAGATTTTTCTTTCGGTTGCCATGGCAACCAGAGTTCTGCATGAAATGGAATTCTTTGAACAATCTTGATAGAGCTTCATACAAAGAGTATTCCTGCCAAGTTTCATTAACATTGGCCTTGCGGTATCATAGAAGATGTCCTTAGAATATTTAAAATGTGGACGGACGACAGACGACGGACGCCATTTGGTTGGCCATCCTAAAAGCTCACCTGCACTTTGTGCAAGGTGAGCTAAAAATATAGCAGTAATCTGTTTGTTGGATTGGGTTTTACATGGCACCAACAGCATAGGTCAAATTGCGACTTTCCAGCTTACTGGTTGAGAAAGACCTTGGTGCCCTTCCGTGCATTATTTCAGGCACGAACAGGCACATGAGTACAACAACAGATGTTCAGTATGCTAGCTGGATTATAGCATTCCTCACATAAAAGAATCCAAAGTCCCTGTCAGGATTTGAACCCACAGCGGTGAGATAGCAGTACATTTTGCTTGGAGGGCAGCTAATTATTGGAAATATTTGGTCAACTTTTAGTTTTAGGTATTTAAATTAAACAAAGAGCTGTTTTACAAGTAAACACATCCTTAACTATTCTTTCTTCACAAACAGGACAGATATTTAGGGAAAAACACAATGTCGACAGTAATATCAGGGTTGACAGCAGACATTTAGTGAGAACATTGTTTCCTGTTTCTGTTATTTAGAGGCAGATATTAGGGGAATACAATGCAAAAACTTTTTTTTTGTTAGAGTGAACATAGGGTTTAATTTATATTAATAGGAAGATAGTTAAAACAGAGAGGGGGTGAATTGTAGTATTAAAGATGAAATTATGATTAAATAATAAAGAACACATTGGCTTGACTTTTGAATTAAATGGCAGGCATTTTGTCTTTATGGATGATAAGGGTATTGTTGAAGGGCTGGATTAACTTTTATGATACAAATGTTTGGTAAAAACAGAAGGCTGGCTGTAATTTTAGAAGCTGTTATTTGGTGAAAACATATGGTAGTTAGAACCGAATGTAATAGGTACCCCAGCAAACAGCTTTTTTTCTGAAACAAGGCATCATAACAAGCATGGGTCACATTTGGCTGTTTCTTTTAACCAAATGCAAAAACTGAAGTTTTTATTGGTGAAGATCTTTCAAAGGTCAAGGTCATATTTGAATCACTCAATAATAAATATGAAAGTTTGGTCTTGAAAGTTGTTTTGTCCAAGTATGAAACAAATACATCAATAAACAATGAAGTTGTTGAAAATTTCATATGGTAAAAAAAATCTTTATGGTCATTAATTTCAAGTTTGAATCATATACACTTCAAGCAGTATGTGGATGTTGTACTTATTTTTATTCTGTGCAAAAATTAACAAGTTCTTCAGAATTTAATTTTTGCAGTAAGCCGCTTTAGTTATAACAACTTCTGGAGAGACTGGTCATTTTGAGCGAAAACAGCCAAATTACTAACTCTGATTTGCTGTTGCGCAGTACAAAATAATTCTCAAAATGTAACAAACAATTACCAATGATTCGAAGATTTTTCATTTGCTGGGCCATTATATCATAATGTAATTTTGATTACTCGAATGAGGTTGTGAGAATAAATATTTTTGAAAATATTAACATATGCTTGTATGAGTATGCCCGATGTTACTTTGCTGAATTCCGTGAACAGTCCAAACTCCTCACAGCGGTTACTAACCTTTATCAGTACAGTCTACGCCAGATCAGATGTTTTCAACAAGCGTGCAATTTTCCACGAATAAGGTGTGATTTTTTTTTTCAGTTTATCAATTGCATTGTTATTATATGTTTAAGATTATGCAATGCTGTTTTAGCAGTATTTGATTGCATTTTACTGTTTGATACATGGTTAGTCTGTGGCTGGTAAATGTATTTCATGCAGGCCTTTTTTTCAGTTGCTGTGTAAATTTATTTTTGGACTGCCACCTTTTCCATATTATATAAGCCAATAGACTACATTTCAAACCTTGTTCAGTATTCAGTTATTCAGAGATGGATTGATTTGCAACATACTGAATTTCTCATGGATTAAATACAAATTTGACAATAAATTACAGAGTCCATTGTACATGGATTGAAATTGTGTTGAATTAAACATGGAATTTGATTTACACTAAATAATACATGGAATCTGAATTGCACTGAATTTCACATGGAATATGAAGCACACTGAATCCCACATGGAATATTTTGAATTGTACTGAATTTCTCATGGAATATAGTGCAAACTGAATTTCAAATGGAATTTGAATGGCACTGAATTCCTTATAGCATTTCAATTGTGCTGAATTTCTCATGGCATTTGAATAACCAATAAATAGTTTCTGAGCTAGCAGACAACAGGCTATTCTTATCAGTTGAGTTTCAAAGGTTACATAATTCTCTCAGTATAAATTGTTTGTAAAATGGTGTGACAGGCAGTTAGGTTTAACAGTTAATTTAAGTACCTATGGTGTCAAAAGGGGGAGAATAGTCTGACTACCTATGCTTTACAATTCTCAGACTTACTGTATACAGCACTTTCAGTGCTTTGATTTTTTTATTTGTCCATAAGGGTCAAAAACAATTAAAGGGTAAGGTTGCACTTGAGTTACTTCACATGAATATTTTGCCAGATGTGTTGTTTTCTTTGAATATGAACAACTCCATAGATTTATAACAAAGATTTGGCCAATTTAATTTGACTTAGAAAGGTAAAAGTAATTCTCTAATTCCCCACTTGACAGATTTATCCTCGGTGGTAGTTAGTCCAAATAGGAATTGAATCAAGGTTAAATGTACTGTTCAACAGGTTGATTTTATAGAAAATATAGGACTTTCTGTATAACATT